TACTTTTCCCCTTCTATTTGCCATGAAGTGATGGGACCAGATGCCATGATCTTAGTTTTTTGGATGTTGGTTTTAAGCCAGCTCTTTCACTCTCCTCTTTCACCCTCATCAAGAGGCTCTTTATTTCCTCTTCACTTTCTGCCATTAGAGTGTTATATATGTGCCATTAGAGTGTTATCATCTACATATCTGAGGTTGTTGATATTTCTTCCAGCAATCTTGATTCTAGCCTGGGATTCATCTAGCCTGGAATTTCACATGATATACTCTGCATAGAAGTTAAGTAAACAGGGTGACAGTGTAAAGCCTTGTCATACTCCTTTCTCAAATTTGAGTCAGTCTGTTGTTCCATGTCTAGTTCTAACTGTTGCTTCTTGACCTACACACAGGTTTTCTCAGGAGACAGTTATTGACTGTGCTAATTTCTATCACTGCATATTAGGACTAAGACCACAGATTTTAAAGCATAAAGATTTCCTTAAAATCTAAATGGTGAGAAATATCAGGAAATAATATTTAATCAAGTAAATTGGCACTTCTCAAGGCAGGAGGAGGCCTCCAAGGAGACTTTTGTGAGCATCTGGACACATTTTTGACTTATGGCTGGGAGGGATTGCACTGGTATCTAGTGAGTACAGGCCAGGATGCTGCTGTGCCCCCTACAGTGCACAGGACAGCCTCCCAACAGAGAATGATCCAACTCAAAATGTCAACATTGCTGAGACTGAGCAACCCTGAAGTAAACCTCTGCAGAGAGAATTGTGGCCCTGGGGAGTGTTAATTTCTGGATGGCCCAGGTCTCTGGGGATGAGGTTTTTTTGTTGTTGTTGTTTTAATTTGTTGACAGCCTGCAGTAAACTGAAAGGGCAACTGCAGGAGAGAGCTTTCTTAAGTGCTGCCACCCTTGGGGCCACAGTTCCTGCTGTGGAATGGGAGGGAAGGTAGGCTTGGGTCAGGAGAGGCTGACAGGAGAAGAGGGAGATAAGGAAAACAACTTGGGCAATAAAAGGGTAGGCTTAGCATAATAGTAAAACTAGAAAAATGGGCAGGAGTGGGGAAAAGTAGAAATTAATGACTCCTAGGCACAGCGGATAAGAATCTGCCTGCCAATGCAGGAGACTCCGGTTCAATTCCTCGTCTGGGAGAATCCCACATACTGCAGAGCAGCTAAGCCTGTGTGCCGCAGCTCCTGAGCCTATGCTCTAGAGCCCTGGAACTGCAGCTTCTGAGCCTGTGTGCTTTAGTGCTTGTGCTCCACAACAAGAGAAGCCACTGCAATGAGAAGCTCCTGCTTCGCTGCAGCTAGAGAAACCCCATACAAAGCAGTGAAGACCCAGCACAGCCAAAATAAATAAGTAAATTTAGAAAAAGTTAATGACACCTGAAGTACAAGCGGCAGAATAAAAAATAAACAAGTGAGACTACATCAAACTGAAAAACCTCTGCACAGCAAAAAAAAACCCATCAACAAAGTGAAGAGACAACCTATGAAATGGAAAAAAATGTTTGCATACCATGCATCTGATAAAGGGTTGATACCTAATATATAGAAAGAACACATACAACTCGGTAGCAAGAAACCAAATAACCAAGTTAAAAAATGGGCAAAGGACCTGAATAGACATTTCTCCAAATATGATATGCAAAAGGCCAGAAGATACATAAAAGGATGTTCAGCATCACAAGTCATTAGGAAAATGCAAATTAAAACCATAATGAGATATCACCTCACTTCTATTAAAATGGCCGTCATGAAAAAGAACAAGAGTTGAATGCTGGCATAGATGTGGAGAAAAGGGTACCCTTGTGCACTGTTGGTGGGACTGTAAATTGATACGGCTACTATGGAAAACAGTGTAAAGATTCTTCAAAAAGGACAGCAACAGAACTATCATGTGCTCCAGCAATTCCACTTCTAGGACTATATCCAAGGGACACAAACTCAAAAAGGTATCTGCACCCCCATGTTCATAGCGTTATTTATAATAGCCAAGACAAGGAAACAATGTGTCTATTGATAGATGAGTAAATAAAGAAATGTATGTATATTGTGCACACACGCACATACATATATATAAAATGGAATATTGTTCAGCCATAAAAATGAAATCCTACCATTTGTGACAACATGGATGGACCTTAAAGGCATTATCCTAAGTGAAATAAGACGGAAAGACAAATATGTGATCTCACTTATAAATGGAATCTAAAAACAAATAAAAAACTCTAGCTCGTAGAAGAAGAGATCAGAATTCTGGTTATGATAGGTGGAGGATGGGAGGAGGGGGGATCGAAGGAAGGTGGTCAAAAGGTACAAACCTTTGGCTATAAGATAAATAAGTACTAGGCATATAAGGTACAACATAGTGACTATAGATTACAGTGATGTACAATATATAGGAGAGTTGTTAAGAGTGTTAATCCTAAGAGTTCTCATCACAAGGAAAAAATTTTTTTCTTTTTGTCATTTATGAGAAGATGGACATTAGCTGAACTTGTAATTGTTTCACAATATATGCAAATTAACCATGCTGTACACAAACTTAGGCAGTGATGTGTGCCAGTTACTTCTCAGTAGAACTGGAAAAATGCATATAAATTCCAGCAAAATGTTAAATTTAAAAAGTAAATGAGATTGAAAATAAAAGATGAAAGTGAAAAAAATATGAAAGTGAGTGAGATTAATCATTAAGAACATAAAAGTAGAAATCTGAATGAAAACAGTAGAAGGCCTTCTACTGAAATTTGAGATGAAATATGTGAAAAGTAGGGAGGATTAAAGATTGAAAGCAGGAATCAAGAATTTAAAAGGTCAACACAAGGCATTGTATCAAATGAGGAGGAAATAGGGGTCAGCATGAACCCAGAATGCTTGGATGGGGAAGTGGGAAAGGGATGAGGCACCAACTGTTGCTGGTAAGAAGGGGAATTGAACAAAGTTGGGGTGGGGCCAGCCAGCTGGCTCAGTGGAAAGTCCCCAGTATCAGCAGTGTTGTTAGTAGTCTGAACAGACCCAGAGGGTGGAGAGCGCTGAGTTGGCACCTCCAGATACCAGCAGCCTGATAGGCCATCTCCTGGGAAGTGGGGAGGGGCATACTGTCAGCAGTGGCTCACTAACCTTTATCCTGAAAGCAAAAGAAATTAGTGGCAGTATTGCCTGGAAATTAATACCTTTCAAGTATTCTACTTAATGCTTTGGGGTGTAGTCATTATTTTTAAACCAGTTTAAGTAATAACCATTTCTTTTTTAAAAAATAGCTTCCAGCTCTTTGTTTGCTTCTGAAACATGGGAATTTTCTTTTGTGTGTGTGTGTGTGTGACTCCAGGCATAAATTTCAACAGACCTTTGAGGTTTTAACTAGCACTATATGCTTTGTGAGTATTTCTGAGTAGCCTAGTCTCTCACATTACAGGCATTGCAAATCTCAGGAATAGGATTTCCAGGCTAAATCATGCCTGAGTAGTTAGAACAGGTCAACCACTCATTTACTTTTTGCCTGTCTTCTGTCCCTTCATGCAGGCAGAAACTATTCTTGAGCATTTTTTTATGTGTTTAGCACAGTTGTAGGCATGAAGAATACAGGGTGAGACACAGCCCCATCCTGAAAGGGCTTCTAGTTTGGGAGGGAGAGCTTCGTAGACATAAATAAATGGATAAATAAGAAAAGCAATAAACCTCCATGCTCTTGGGCAATTGTACAGACAGCAAAGCAAGTGTAGAACATTCTAGGCGGAGGAACCAGCATGAATGAACCCATAAAACTGGAAAACAGCATGGGAAGGAGTCCAAGTTTTATGGGAAAAGGCAGAGTGACTGATGAAGTTAAGAAGGTGGTTGGGGTCAGATCATAAATGGGCCTCTTAGACTCACATAAAAGTCCTAGGTAATAAATACCAAAGGATCTCAAATACGGGTAGTACTCAGGTTTGCAGTTTAGAAAGATCATTCTTTTGCAGTGCGGTGGTTTTGAGTCATCAGAGGGCCAGGTGAACAGTTAGAATTAAGCTGTTGAAACAATCCAGGAAAGAAACAAGGGCCCAAGGGGAGAAGAAAAGAGGAGAGAGTAAGTTCTTTTAACAGGCAGAATTAACAGGACTTAATAACCAATAGGATGGGGGGTGGTGGAGATGACCTTAGAGCTTCTGATTGGGTTGTCTAGTTGGAGGGTGGCACCATTCCTGAGAGGAAAAAGTAGCTGAAGAGGGGGTATTTCTGGTGGAAAGATTCAAGATGGTCAAGTGCTGTGTATTAATTTTTTAAATCTATTATTTTTTAAAACTTTTCTTGATTCTACAGCACACATTCACCTATCAGGCCTCATAGAGACTTGGAGGCACAATCAAGATCCTGATGAGCTGGTTTTGGGTGTGTTTGGTGGTGGGAGCTTGTGTCCCATCCAGGTGGAAATGTCCAGAAGTAATAGGATAAGTGAGTTGGGAGCTCAGAAGAAAACTCTGGCCGGGAATTGCATGTCTGGGAGTCACTGGCTTTGTGTTGAAGCCATGGGCATGAGTGACCTGGTCAGGGAGAGCAGGGCACAGAAAGAGTGTGAGTTTGGGAACAGAGATTGGGGGAGAGCAGCTCTGGGTAGGAATGGAAAGCGAGAGCTGCTGAACATTCCATTCTTAGAATTACAGAAAGGTTCTTCACTCTGTTCAATGAATCAATTGGTGAGATCATTAAAAACTCCTTCCCCTATTATTGGTGTGTGCGTGTGTGTGTGTGTGGTGTGTCATTTATTTTACTTATAAGGCTAAGTAGAAAACTCAGGAACTACTACTGTCTTTTGGAAATGAAGATAAAGATGACTTGGAATTTTGAGTCCATGAGAACATGTTTTTTAGGTTCTGACTTCCATAAAACTTCAAGAATGCATTTATTTCCCATAATGCACAATAAGCCTTTTGGAGCAGAAGTGGCTGAAGTTGCAAGTGTGCCCAAGTTACACACCTTCAGTTTGGAGAATTGGGAGAAGGCTTAAATTACTTCTGTATTTCAGGTAATTCAGAGGTTCGTGGGGCCTGCCAGCCTGAGCCTGCTCACCTTCAAGGTCTATGCATCATCAAAAAAGGACTCACCTCACAAAGATACTGTGAAGGTTAATGAGGTAATATGTTGTGATATATTTTGAGTATCTGATAGAGTTACTATGGGAAGGATACAAATTGACTATCAGGAAGCTATAACAATTTGGAAGATGTTTAAAAGGAGGAAATATATTTCCTTATAGTTTGTTTTTATATATGGGACGCTGCTACACTATGGCTTTTTCAACTTTAATTAATGGTACTTAGCTAAGGGCATAATTAAGGAATATTTCTTAGATTTTTACTGGGGAAACTGCTCTATCCCAGTAGATTGTAAGCACAAGTCACTTCTAAGTGATCTTCTTGCTTCTAGACTGCTTATTAAGCCAGGAAAACATTCACATTTTTCCTTCGCCTAAGCAATTAAAGACCAGGGCTCATCCTGCTTCTTGGCTGGATTAGAGGCTTATAAGTAGATGCTTAATAAATACTGAATATATAAAATGAGAAATCATCTCTCCATTGTTTACATTCCTTTTGGTCTCTGCTTCCCACTGATTATTTTGGCTATTTCGTTTCTTTTGAAACTAAAATACTCTGTGTAAAGTATCATAAAGATCTACCTTCAGTCATGATCAGGGTTACTTGAATGGTGTTTACATAAAGCTGAATAGCTTATTTTTTTTGCCCTTTACTCTCTTCTTCTCAGGCCTTGGGGCAGTGGCATCTTTGAGGGTGAAGAAGGCAGCCCATGGTGGCTCTGAAACATTTCTTCTCTGCCTGGGGGACAAACCTGCTCTCCTGCTTTCGTTAGCCTTAGACTGATCATTAGAAGACGACTAGGCTAGGTTAGACTAGAACTAAGTCTAGACTGACTCTTCAGTTAATCTCAGGCTTTTCTTCCCTATCCCACCTCCCACCCACCCTTTAGAGTAATAAAATCCTTTTTTCAAACTAAATCTAAGGTGAAATAACAAATACCAGTATATAAAATGGGTGAAGAGGGCTGCTTTGTCTGCTATGAGTAGGATCGGAGGAGGCTACAACACCTCATAAGAGCCCTGCTCTCTTGGCCTAGGCCTTATTAAGAAAGTAAGTGTGGTAGAAAGATGGTCTAAAGCAAGGTTCAGGGTGCACATAATCCTTAGTCACTGTAGTTCATGAATTACTAGAAATATGATGCTTGTAAATTTGACAGTTGATTGTTATTTCATTGCTGTATACCCTTCTTCATTTTTTTCTGTTTTGTTTTTCAATTTTTGCAGCTTTCACTCTACTCCGTTCCTGAGGATCAGTCTAAATATGTGGAAGAACCAAGGACCCAACTTGAAGAAAGCATCTCTCATCTCCGACATTATTGTGAACCATATACAAGTTGGTGTCAGGTACAGCTGTTCTGAAAATAGAATGAATGCATTTCTGTTTAGAGTCAGTAGTGAAAAGTCTATATTGGCTCTAAGTTTTCAGAAAAAGGCACAACAAAGGGCCCCAAGTTAAAGAGTGCCCAACTTAAAAATGTTCATTAGTGCCATCTCTGGAAGAGAGCAGAGAGCCCTGACTTCCTGGTGGCAGCTGTTGCCATAGCTGCAGAGAGAATTTCCTTCCCACTGGGCAGAGAGTGTCACATTGCCTAGAGAGCAGAGGCCCATGGTACTTACCTTTTTTTTTGGCCAGGCCTACTTGGCTTGCAGGATCTTAGTTCTCCAACCAGAGCTTAAACCCCAGCCACAGTCGTAAAAGCTCTGAGTCCTAACCACTGGACCACCAGGGAATTCCCCCATACTACCTATCTTGTTGGTTGTGGCTATGAAACCATTATTGTCCACCAGGGAGGATACTGGGACTGCAAACATTTATATATATTAAAGTTAGGAAGTTTCTCTCCTCTCAGAGATTCTACAAGTCAGTACCACTTTAAGCAGGATGGGTACAGAGCATTTCAGATGCAATATTAAGAGAGTAGATAACTAAAAGAGGGTGGAATTACATGTTTGAGTACTGAAGTGTTTCCTCTAGTGATCAAAGATCTGCATCTACAGATTGACTTGTACTGCTCAGGTTTTAGATCAGACATATGTCATTATGTTCATGAAAGCACATCTGCAGCTTTTAACATTGGAAACTGAAGTTTACAGTCTACAGAATGTTTTTGTTGACTTTGATCTATATATTTGCCAAACTTGATTTTGAAAATTCATGACAAAGTAACAGAATGTAGATGTGTGTGCTGTGGTCTAGATTTACTTTGCTTGAGATTTATAAACTCAATTTTCATCCAAATCTTTTAAAATTTTAAATTTTAAATTTCCACTGTCTGTGCCAGTGCTGAACTTTTGTTCACCAATTTAGAAAAAAAATGGTAAACGTAGACCCTGTCAACAACATAAATTAGGTCATTATACTAGAGTATCATAACCATATTATAGAGTTATGAAATACCTAAAGACTTTACACATAATGTGCTGTACACATTTAGACTTTATTCTCTTGTTCTAGAAGATTTTTAAACCATCTGCTGGTGGTTAAGATAAGGTCAGCACATTTGCAAATATTTTTGTACCATGTAGGCATGACTGCATGACTACTATTATTTCTCTCTTGCTCTTTTTTTTTTTTGTGGTTAAAAGTACTTTATCTCTTTACCTTTCAACCTAAGGTTGCTTTTTGTTTTTTACTTTCTTGTCTGTGCTTAATGCTTAGTGCAGCAAAATGCCTCTGAAGCTGACAGCATAGTAATCAACATGTTTATTTGTACTGCTTATAAGTAAAAAAGCTTTTTTGTGATTATGTTAGTTTTATTTTCCTGTAGATTGAACTCTTCATGAATGAAAATACTTTTCATTCCTGACTCCATTTTCAGACCTACAAGTTCTAGTCCCTTTCTTTAAGAACTAATTTAATTTTCTTAAATTAGAACTGATTCTAATTCTTAAGAACTGATTTAGTTTTTCTTTCTAGTTAACAGATTATGCTAGCAGAAGTGGCAGTCAGTCCAGACATTGGTCTGTAGCTTTTCTTTTTTTAAAATAAACAAATCATTTTCCAAGTGGCAGCTGGTTCTGATATCTTCTAATATCCACATATCTCTTTTTCCATTTTTTACTGTAGATTTCTTGAAGGTGAATACCTTCTAGCCTAGTTCCTTCTTTTCTTTAAGATCATCTGATGTTCATGTAAAAAGTCTTTTTATTGTTATTAGGAGAATGTTAATACTTCATTTGCTCAGGATTGGGGTACGTGTCTCCAAATCTGGATATAGACTCCTTTGTCACATTCAATCGGGTCATTTCTGCTTCAAATGGGCAGTTTTCAGATACAAGCTCTAAAATCATGGCAAATCAGGAAATAGACTTAATATGAAAGATTTAATCTCACAGGGAAAGGATTTCCACTTTAATTATCGAGGGGACTGAGTGTTTTTCATCCTCTTCAGTTTCAGTAGAAGAATAAAAAGGCCGGGTTGTTGAAACCACTCTACTTGAAATCTTTGCTTCCTGTGGCAATAATAAGCCATTCTGCTAAGCAATTTGTGGTGAACAGGAAATTACAAAAGAAAAAAAACAACACAAAACCCCTCAGATAGACAGTAAATCCCTTTGTTCAAGAAGTGCTAATAACATGATAATTTATTCAGTAAAGATAAATACATATTTATTGTTACTTTCTAAACAACAAAGTCTATTCATTCTTTTTTTTTTTATCTTTTTAGGAAAAGTACTCCCAAAATAAGCCCAAGATGCAAAGTTTGGTTCAATGGGGGTTAGGTAAGTTGATTTTTAATTAGGCACAGTCAGTTTGTTTGACATTGGATGTTTTAACTGGTATTCCGTGGATGCGCTCCAGGGGATCTGTGAATTCCTTAAAATTATATGTAGAATTTTAGAGTTACTTGGTTATTTCTGGAAAGAGGATCTGTTTTTTCCATCAGATTTCAGGAAACTAGTGTCCCCATTCAGGTAAGTCTCTTCAGGATCATTAGGATTGTTGACCTAACAGGTGCAGATACACTGGATTTTCATTTTTTAAAATCTGTTTCCAGATGCAGTGTCCTAGCTCATCTATAGGATTTCGGAATCAGGATCGCTCATTGGCATGGCTGGTAACACATGTTATAGAAGTCTAGATGCAGGAAGGAACTAGGCTAGTGTGCCTAGGAAAGGCTTTACTGCATGATTCGTGTGTTCTTACATGTTTTCATTTGTTTTTTTATCATCTTTGATTGTTTTTCACATTCACTTAACACATACACCCATAAACTGATTTCACAGTCTTGTGTTCAACTAATATTAAGAAATTAATAGACATTGGTCATATTTCATTCCCTTTATTGGGCGTCTAAACCAGTCATCCTCTTCTTTCTACAAGTGTTTGTTTCCATGACAGAATAAACATGAGTACAGTTTATTTTTCTGTGAAGATCATCAGAGCATTGATGTGCTGATACCCCTGAGACTACCTACCATATAAATACAGTCTTCCTTTGAAGATAGACATATTAGTGGCTTACCAGTTCTTTAAATTATTCATGTAGATTAATATCTTAATTTTAAAAACAGTTATTCAGTGCTTATTAAGTATCAGGAGCTAATCTATGTGACTTGAAAGTATTAATTGATGTAGAATCCTTATAACAACCCTGGCAATTAGGTACTTTTTTACTATCTTTTTTTTCCCCTCAGGAAGCTAAAGATTTCCTGATCTTTTATCTCTCTGTGACTGAGGTGATCTCTTTGTTGTCACCTGTCATTTCCCATAGAAGTAAGCAGTATTTGCAATATGAGTCTTTTTTTTTCTTCTCTTGGACTCAGTTACTGCAAAGGCTCTTAAGAAGAAACATTCCATTATGAGTTGCGTTGTTGTCTGCCAAGACAACCCATCCATTTCCCAGCAGTCACAGCCAAGATGTGTTAACTAGAAGCTGGATTTCAGCTTCAGTGCAGTCTTAGAGTCCCATTTCTTTGTGATCTTCCCACTTTGGTTCCCCTCACCAAGGCATCTGGGTGTCCTGTCACCTGCTCTGTGTTCATGGCTACAGTTGAAAATAACATGCTGGTAGGCAGAAATAAAGAGAAGTAGAAAACTGCTGCAAATGACCCAGGCAAGTTAAAATCAGGTTAAAGGCAAAGTAAGTAAAAGGCCAGACAGGAATTGGTGCAAACAGCACAAACCCTATTGGAGAAGGCAATGGCAACCCACTCTAGTACTCTTGTCTGGAAAATCCCATGGACGGAGAAGCCTGGTTGGCTACAGTCCATGAGGTTTCGAAGAGTCAGGCAAGGCTGAGCGACTTCACCTTCACTTTTCACTTTCATGCATTGGAGAAGGAAATGGCACCTACTCCAGTGTTCTTGCCTGGAGAATCCCAGGGACGGAGGAGCCTGGTGGGCTGCCATCTATGGGGTCGCACAGAGTCGGACACGACTGAAGCGACTTAACAGCAGCAGCAGCACAAACCCTATAACAGTATTTAAAATGATCACCACAGTTCCCAAAGAACCCAAGAAAAGGAAAACTGGCATGTGTCTAGTCTTATCTGGAGGAGAGAATTACAGAGTATTCCAGTTAGTTCAGTTCCACTTTCATTTGTTAAGTCACCACCATGGCAGGCATTGAAGAGAGAGGCTGAGGAAGACAGTGGTCACAACCACTGAGGTGCATATAATAAAGTGTTCAATATTATCTCGAATACAGAGGCAGTCATAGACTACCATTGAAGGTACAGAGGAAGGAGGCTAGTTTAACAGAGATTGGGGAGACGGAAGCAGTCAGGGAAGGAGTTCTGAGGAGGCATCGTGCAAATGAGGTCATCAGGCATGTTCAGGCGTGGCAAATAGGCTCACGTGTTGCATTTGTTTGTATTTATCTATCAACAGTGACTATTTCCCGCATGTACTTGCACAACAGGTTTCCCTCATTGTTCAGATTTTTCATTTCTTGAGTCTGAATAATGAATTCAGATGGCAAAAGATAAGTTTTTTCCCCTTGAGTCTGATATATTTTGTTCCTGAGTTTTAGAGAGCAATCAGCAAAGCTTCAGACAGTGACACATCTGTCCAAAGATTTATCCGAGTTTATTCTGATCCTGTGTTTGAATATCGAGAGATTCCTATATTTGTATTTCTCCCCTTATAAATTATTGATTCGGATCTGTTGCCTTCAAGAATTATGAAGATAATCTAATGTTACTGCCAGATGTCATCAAACTAAAAGGTGTTTGAGAATTGGATACTTACTATGTGACTAGTAAATCATGTTTATCTCTCACATAAAAAGAACTTGTTGAAGCACATTAACAGCAGACTACATTATTTGAAAAGCATTTGGTACTACATATACTTTTATATATGACTTCTTGTTTTGTTCTTTTTGTTTCTTTTTATTTATTTTTAATTGAAATATACTTGGTATATGTGTTTTATTTATTAATGAGCAATTTATGGTACTGTTTTCCGGTCTGATTCTATTGTAGACAGCTATGAATATCTCCAAAATGCACCTCCTGGATTTTTTCCAAGACTTGGTGTTATTGGTTTTGCTGGAGTTGTTGGACTTGTTTTGGCTAGAGGTAGGTACAATTTTATAGTTTTTTTAAGGAAAAAATTCATAAATCAGAGATAAGATATATGTTTGGTTCTTTGTTTTCATTTATCAGTTTTTGGAATAATGAGTTGGCTTCTGCATATGGCCTTCTTGGTGTATAATTGATATGATTATTTTCTGCAGTATATTTGATTTTAAACATATATAAAAACTGTAAAAAAATAAAATAAAAAATGTGTACTTTTGATTTAAAGAAGTTAGTTATCTTTCATAGGCACATTTACTTCATTTACTTGGTCAAATTCCTGTTGCTCTTCAGTACAGAAAGTGAACTTTTGTTAACCAAGACCTGTCACACATGAGAGACTGTTTGTAAATATTTCACTATTAAGATCAGGCTAATTGGTTGGAATTCTGGCAGTTTACCTCTTAGATGTTTTTGTACACATGTAGAATGGCATATGTTCAAGGTTGTGCACTGTAGTATTTTTTTGAAATATAAAAGATTAGAAAGTAAAAAAAAAATCAGGCTATTAATCACAGTACAGTGATTTCATAGAGAGTTTATAATTTCTTGATGTCTTATAGCTTCAGTCAGTGATGATAAAAAAATCTTTTAAAATACTTAAAGTTAAAAGCTAACAAATATCAACTTAGAGATATTACTACACCTTACTACTGGATTACAAAGAATTTATAGGAAATTCAGGATGATAAAATACTTTAATGAGATGAATTTGTTATGAACTACTTGGAAGTTTCACTGGTTGTAAAATTCAGATTACAAAATTTTCTAAATTAGAAAGATTATGAACCCTGTAATCAGGTTCCCATAAGAGATAACTATAGAGACTAGTTTGATAACCATTTCTCAATATTAAGAACCTTTCTATACATGGCTTAACCATTCTTTTACAATATGGAAGAATGCTGTCCTGGTGCCACTCCCCGAGCATGTGGAATGAACTCCTGTTGTAGTTTCTGTGTCCTCCTCCCATTTGGCGCAGAATATATAAGAATTAAAAGCAGAGTTTATTTTTGCTAATCGACTTGGGCAATAGTTGAATCAGCTTTTTGTCCCAAACTTCTTTCCTCTCCTTCTGTAAAGCTGTCCAAAAAAGCATTCCTATCTTATTTAGATAGTGTTTAGGATTTATGGAGATCCCAAGGCCAGGGTGTTGGAATGTTGACTGGCTGTCAGGGAGCCAGGAATGTGGAATCAAGTGAGATTAGCTTCCTCCTTCCCTCTCCGTGGGGAGAGCACATGGAACAGTTTTACAGCTCCCTGTGCCATGCATGCGCTCTACACTGTGTTCATCCTCTGCACATTCACTGGGCTGACCGTCCTGAAGACGACTGGGAACTGTGCTCTCCTGAGCAGATCAGCAACAGAAGGACATCTGCTGCTGTGGGGCCTTTGCCTTTGTCTTTATTTGCTTGTTTGTTTAGATGTTCCCCTTTCTTTTTCCTTTTCCTGAGAGGACTCTAGTTGTATTAAAATACTTTAAAACCTTAATTCTTTTCCAGAAAAGTACACATGCACACATACTGTACAATAGATCTTTTCCCATGGGTGCTAGGATATAGGAGCCTGAGGTAAACACCATTGGGTGGGGGTTCCTAAGCAAAATGAGTGGGAGGGTAAGTATGTTTATAGGTGGTCAGAGTGATTTGCAGGCCCCTGTAGGTATGCTGGCAGCAGTATGATGGGCTAAGTCTTTCCTGGTAGCATTTCTTTTCTTTCTTTTTTCAAACATTTTATTTATTTTAATATAATTTTATTTTTTTAATAAAGAAATTAAGTTTTTTTTCTTAAGTACACACAGTTGTATGAATTGCCTGTATACAAATTAACCAGGGCTTGACAACTCAATAGACAGGTTTCATTTATAATTAGGACTTTTTTTTATAGTAAATATCTCTAAAATGCTAGGCAATTGTTTATCCTTTCAAGCATAATTTTCCCCCTCCCCATTTTGTAAAGTAATATTAATTATTATAGAGAACATTGTACTTAAAGTAGGAAAATAATCTATAATAAAAATATATATGTATTTACGGTATACAAAGTGATGTTCTGATACATATATATGTATATGACAGGGTTGCCTGCTGTCACCCTATTTGTTTAATCTATACACTGAGCACATTATGAGAAATGCTGGTATGGATGAGTTACAACCTGGAATCAAGATAGGTGGGAAAAACATCAACAGCCTCAGATATGCGGATAATCCCACTCTAATGGCAGAAAGCAAAGAGGAACTAAAGAACCTCTTGATAAGGGTGAAGGAGGAGAGTGAAAGAGCCAGCTTAAAACTAAATATTTAACAAAACTAAGATCTTGGCATCTGGCCCCATTACTTCATGGCAGATAGAGGTGGGGAAAGGTGGAAGTAGTGACAGATTTCCTCTTGGGCTCCAAAATCACTATGGATGGTGACTGCAGCCATGAAATCAGAAGACGGTTGCTTCTTGGCAGGAAAGCTATGACATACCTATACAGTGTGCTGAAAAGCAGAGAGATTACTCTACTGACAAAAGTCCGTATTGTCAAGGCTATGGTCCTCCCAGTGGTCATGTACGGTTGTGAGAGCTGGACTGTAAAGAAGACAGAGCACTGAAGAATTGACACCTTCGAACTGTGATGCTGGAGAAGATTCCTGAGAGTCCCTTGAATAGCAAGGAGATAAAACGAGTCAATCTTAAGGGAAATCAACCCTGAATACTTGTTGGAAGGACTGATGCTGAAGTTGAAACTCCAGTATTTTGGTCATCTGATGAGAACAGCTGACTCATTGGAAAAGTCCCTGATGCTGGAAAAGATTGAGGGCAGAAGGAGAAGAGGGTGTCAGAGGATGAGATGGCTGGATGGCATCACCAATACAATGGACATGAACTTGGGCAAATTTCAGGAGATGGTGAGGGACAGAGTGGCCTGGTGTGTTGCAGTCCATGGGGTAGCAAAGAGTCGGACATGGCTGGGCGACTGAACAACAGCAGCAACAACATATGTGTATAAATAGTGAAATGATTACTGGAGTGGAGCTAATTAATGTATCTTTTCACATAGTTACCTTTTTTGTGATGAGAGCATCTGAAATCTCCTCTCTCAGTAAATGTCCAGGGTTCAGTATTATTAACTAGTTATCATACTGCACATTAGATCTCTAGACTTACTCATCCTACATAACTGCACCTTTGTATCCTTTGACCAATATCTCCACATTTCTCCCACCTCCCTACTCTTGATAGCCACCCTTCTAGTCTTTGCTTCTGTATATTTGACTTTTTTAGCTTCTACATATCAGTGAGATCATGTGCTGTTTTTTCTTTCTCTGTCTGGATTATTTCACTTAGCATAATGTCCTCTAGGTTCATCCATATTTTTGCACATGGTAGAATGTCCTTATTTTTAAAGGCTTAATAATATTCCATTGCAAATGTATACCACAGTTTCTTTATCCATTCCTCCACTCCAGACATTTAGTTTGTTTTCATGTGTTGACTCTTGTGAATAATGCTGCATTGAACATGAGGTATTTCAGGTTACTGACTTCATTTCCTTTGGATATACACCTGGAAGAGGGATTGCTGGATCATACAGATAGGTTTCTTGGGCATTTAGCAGATAACAGTGATGAGGGTGGCCTGGACTGTGGTGATTACAAGAGGTATCTCTCTGGAAGAGAAATGAATGGATGATTATTCAGAGAAAGTAGGCCCAGCCAGGCCACTCAAGGAGGGCAGGTGGTTGTTGCCCTTTGTTGTTGCCATTTGGAGGCTCCCTCTGGCCATGCTGACAGTTACAGTCTACATCACTGGCTTCTTGGGAAGTTTGGGGCTGGAAACAGGAAGGGAAGCAGGGGATTGTACTTCCTTCCAGAACTTCTAGGACCCCTAGCTTATTGTGTGCACCAGTTGGAACTAGAAACCCAAGAGCAGCTGCCTATCAGCTTTCTCTGTGCACAGTGCTCAGTTGCTCAGTTGTGTCCAACTCTTGGCAATCCCATGGACTGTAGCCCTCCAGGCTTCTCTGTCCATGGGATTTCCCAGGAAAGAATATTGGAGTGGATTGCCATTTCCTTCTCCAGGGGATCTTCCCAACCCAGGGATTGAACCTGCGTCTCCTGCACTGGCAGGCAGATTCTGTACCACTGAGCCCTCTAGGGAGCCTCTATCAGATTCCTCTTATATATTCTTGATTATTTTCTTCTTTTGAATTATTTTACTTTGATCATTTCTAAGAGCTCTTTTCTGCTCTGTTTCACAGAGCTCATTTTTCTTTTAATGCAGTAGCTTCTTAAATTTATTGATGATACCTAAGAACAAGTTTAATTTAAGTTCTTCTCTTTCCTTTGGGGTCATTTTTCTGTCTTTCTTGTCTTGATGTTCTCTTTTATGTTGTGAGCTTTCTTTACCTTTCCTCGGTTGTACAGTCGTATTTAAGAGCAAGGCGATTGGAACTCTAATAAGAACTTTTTACACATAAATGGGACTTGCTGGGAAGCAGGTTCTCTCTCTGGGTTAGCTGAGAGGGAACTGACCTTAAAGGAGAGTGGTGACAATGCCCACCTGAGTGAGGCTGGACTTTCTCCACTAACATGCACATGCTGTTACACCAGCTGTCTTGGCTTTCAGCAGCAAATCTGTGGCATTTCTTTAGAGGTACCTTGTGCCCCTTTTAAGATTTTGTCTGGAGAGATGCCCTGACCACAGCATTTTGGCACTGGCATGGTGTGGAGGAATCTTACACAGTGTTAGATGTACAAGGCAAACTGTGATGATAGAGATAATAAATCCTCTGATGGTGTCCACAACCTTTTATTTAATAGGTTCAAAGATAAAGAAGCTTGTGTATCCACCTGGTTTCATGGGATTTGCTGCCTCTCTTTATTATCCACAGCATGCCATTGTATTTGTCCAGGTAGGTTATATCAATAAGCTTTCATGCTCATGTATGTATGGGTTTACTGCTTCATTTAGTTTTATTTTGCAGACTTTATAACACCAGAGTAAAATTTCTTTGCACATGTAGATTTAAATGGTTTTGCAGCAAATTTAAATGGTTTTCTCCACTGTATACCTCAGTTCTGGCCCTCCTTTCAATGTCAGTATTCAGAGAAGGCAAGCTAATTTGAATATTAATAAAAGAAAATTTAATATACTTTTTTGCATAATTACATGGAAGCCCAGAGACTCAAATTCCAGAGTTGGTGTTTACAGATCAGTTTGGGTGTACCTGGTCATAGCCTGCCCTCCTTGGTGTTGTAGGCATGGGCCTTGTACTCTGGCCTTCTGCCTTCCCCTTCGTCTGGTGCCGGCCTCACTTTCCTTGCCGGGGGCTTCAGGGAGTGCAGTTCGCTCCATTGGGAATGCCCTTTTTAGGACTGTCAGTTGGCTGCTCCTTTCTTACCCTTGAGGCCTCAGCTTGATGGCATCCTGGCAGGTAGAACACAGTGGCCGAGACATGAGTACAGCTGATGCCTTCGTCAGCTCAAGCTGCCATGACAAAATACCACAGCCTGTGAGGCTTAAATAATAGAAATTTATTTTCTCACAGTTCTGAAGGCTGGAAGCCCAAGAGCAAGGTGTCAGCAGGGTTGGTTTCTCCTGAGGCCTCTCTCCTTGACTTGCAGATGGCCACCTTCTCCATGTCCTCGCGTAGCCTTGTCACTGTATGCACACTTCCCTGATGTGTCATCCTTGTCTTATAATGACACCAGTGGATTAGAGCTCCACCCTTATGACTTCACTTGACCTTAATTACCTCTTTAAAGGCCCTTTCTCCAAACAGTCACATTGTGGGTTAGGGCTTCAACACATGAGTTTTGGGGGACACAGTTCAGTCCATAACAGCTGGACCAGCAGTGCTCAGACTGTAGTCCCTGGATCAGTGGGATCAGGATCGCCTGGGAACTTATTAGAAATGCAAGTTTTCAGGCCCCAACCCAGACCTATTGACTCAGACCCTGAGAGTTAGGGCCAGCAGTCTGTGTTTTTAGCAGGCCCTCTGTGGGATTTTTGCAAGCCCGTAATATTTGAGAACCACTGATAAAGACGTTAGACTCCCTAAGGGCAGTGGTGTCTGGACTTGGAGGGACTGTACACATAGAATCCCTTAGAAAACTGGCAAGAACGAGGCTGACTTAAAGTTTTGAGATCCTACGTAGCTTCTGGAGATGGGGATTCATTTGTTAGAACTGCCATATCACACTGAAACTGGTTTCTAGGAAGAAGAGCAGTGCCATCACCAGAATTAGTCCTTGAAGCTCTGAGCCAATCCGACCAGACACTGTGCCCCCTGGAGTCCTTGTAATATCATTAAGTCTAGATTCCTGGATGGTGCTCCAGTTGTAGGTGGGAGCCCAGTGGATCCAGCTGTGGGAAATTGTTGGCTTTGGTGGCAAATACCAGTACGATCTTTATAACATGGGTTTGGCGTTGTTTATAGCAGTCCTGGAGGCAGTTACTGATCCTCTGCCTGCTTCAGTCCTAACTCTGAAACAGTGAATCATGTCTGCCTGCTCTAGATCACAAAAATAATCAAGCATCATCTTAGTCTGTTATGGTTTAAATAGTAAATTGGCTGGTGGTTGAGAAGCATATGTAGTAACCCTCTGAGTAGAGGTCTTTTTTTTTATCTTCCATGCCACAGCATGCATTGCAAAAGAATTGTTTGTATTCACAACCAAGATAGTAGCATACAAATCTGAGTTGTATTCTAATTTATTTTTAAAGGCAGTGGGAAGGAGTTTTGTCTTTTTTTTTTGGTACCTAGAGTGAGCCAGAACAAAGCAATTAACTATTTTCACTAGATATAAAACATTAGTGATCTGTTTGGGATGATGAAAAAGTTCTGAAAATAGTGGTGGTGATGGTCACATAACATTGTGAATGTAATTACCACTGAATTGTACACCTAGAAGTGGTTAAAATGGTAAATTTTATATTATGTGTATTTTGCACAATAAAACAAAACAAACATCAGTGATCGAAAGAGAATTAGTTCCTATTTCACAGTTTCTTTTCTACTTCCTCTTTTTTTTTTCCTCCTAATGAATGCCATGACCTTGGACAAACCACTTAATCACTTATGTTTTCTTTTCTGTTCAGTAGTGTCTGGAGAATACTATTGTCAGAAAACTCTGAAAGTGATGGGCGAATATTATTTTTCTCTCAGAAATTTAAAACACTGAGAACAGTGCCATACTGATAGTAAATGCTTATTACATCTACCAATGAGTCTGAGAATCATATCATATCATATTTTAAGAACAGTTGGCATAACTGGAAGTATATAACTTGTAAGAAACCAGTATGTTGCAGCCAAATGCTGGATTTACTAGCATTGTGACCTTGGACGAGTCATTTGGCCTCTGAATATTTCCTAATAATCTCTGCCTACTTACCATATAGCATTGTTATATAGAATAGAGGTAAATCATGTGAATGTGCTTGGTAAAGTAAAATGCTATATAGAGACAAATGATAATAAAAATTCAGAAGAGAATAATAACTGCTTTCAGAAAATCAAAGTAGTTTCATGTAGAAGACAAATCAATATTGTCATAAGTAGGACCAATGAATGCAAATTATTGGAAGTTTCTTTTTAAGAAAGCTCAATATCTTTAATAAAAGTTTCCAGTAATTGAAGTCAGCAGGCCAAAGGTGGATCAGTACCTTTTAAGGTAGGGAGCTCACTTACTCCAAAATATTCTCTGACCCTGCAGCCTACCTTTCTGCATGTTGTAGAAAGGATTTTGGAGCAGAAAGCAAAAGCCCTATAGAAACTCAAAGACTTTTATCTTTTGAGGGATCTGGGAACACTGACCACCTTTACTGGGCTCACTTTTTTTTTTTACCTAGCCCCTAAAATGAATGAATGATTTTCGTCTTGAGTTTCAGACTTGGTTGGCTGTTACGTGCGTCCTAGATGTGATAGGTAGAAGCCTTCTTTCTTATCTGATTTTTCAGGAATTTCTCATATCAGCATTTTTTCCCCACATTTTTCCCTTGAAATTGTGAAAGGTTGAAATATACACCTATAATTTATGGCACATTATTTTAAATAGTAGCTATACCTGGGCAAACTATTTTTTCTTCTTACCCTATCATTCTTGCTTTTATTTGGTTACATTGCATAGTTTTTTTTTTTCATTGTATAGTTTTAATGTGTATGTATATTTTATTTCAAGGTCAGTGGAGAGAAATTGTATGACTGGGGTTTACGAGGCTACATTGTCGTAGAAGATTTGTGGAAGGAGAACTTTCAAAAGGTGAGAAAGATCTTTTTAATTATCTTCCTTTCAGTTTAAATGTGTGGCTTCTCTCAGGTTTTATAAAATTATTGATAGCCCTGTTGCTTGCTCCTGCTTTTTGTGTTTGTATTTCCTTATGCTTGTAGCTCAGATTCTCGGGTGGCCTTTATTAGAGGAGCAATAGAACTTCTATACATTTGATTGTTTTTAGCAGGGCTGAATATAAGTGGGGATCATAGAATGCATTCCACTTCAGTCTTAGACCATAATTTCCGCTCTATTGTATTTATAATTTGTTCAGAGTGTTGCGTATTATCTGAAAGTTTTATCAAAACTAGAATAGATGGAAACAGGGTATGTTCCCAGAAGAAGAGGAATAGCTGAGACTCCTCCTCTTGCTGTTTTGCTCATCATGGGCCCCATTCTTTGCTTTATCGGTACTGTATCTGTTCATCCCCTAGCCTCTGGGCCAAGTTAAGGGCACCAGTTACAGGCCACTTTACTGACTTGTGGGCGAGCATCAGAGGGGAAGAGGTTGTGGAATTAAAGGACATGCCATTTTTTGTCTCTTCTCACAGCCACTTAGCTGATTAAATGTTGCCCATGTTTGCTGGAACATTCTCCTCTGATAAGGAAGAGTAAGTGTAGAACAAGGTATCATGTCTTCTCTGAACACTCAGAGGCACAGCCCAATGAGGAAGAATTAGGGTTCTTATTATTAGCATACCTTATCTTAGAACACTTGATTCTGGTCATCTCAAATCAGAGTACTCTTTTAAAAAATATAAATACCTGTCTCAAAATTAAAGTTCAGGATTTCGGACTAGAACTTGAAAGTAACATTGTAGAATAAATTATAAGCCCTTCTCATTAGTTACATAAATAGTCTTCCAGTGAAATCTTTTTTTTTTCCTTCCAGTGAAATCTTAAGACTAGGTTTTATACTGGTGATTTCTAAAGGAATTAACCTCTATTGAGCCTGTTTAAAACCAGCTAGCTCTTGAGTAGGAAGTTGTATATTAATATCAAGTGCCCTCTGGCAATCCATTTTAAAGAATAAACACTCATAGTTTTATTTTCATTTCTCTGACATTTTCTTTGGAAGCTCTCTTTCCTGTTTAAAAAATTCCTTAAGTCCACGCTGAGTTGAATATGAGAAAGGAAGTAGAAATGTGGCAAATGAAACTCCTCCACAGTTCTGCATGCTCTGTGTGGTGTCAGTACAGAGCTGATGCACACAAAAGCCAAGGCGGAGGGCTCCACTGGGAGTCTGAGCGTTCACTGTGGTATCAGGCAGACGCATGCTCACCAACTGGACTGTGGTTGGAATGCAAGCTGAACAGGCCAGCATTTTATAGCTGTTTGAAAACGTTGGATATGGGGAGTGAGGTAGTAACGATGCCTAGTTAGCCAGAGGTTGGTCTATATATCTTCTCTGGTCTCCCGTCTGTGCCCTTGCCCTCTTGCGCATCACTGAGAGTCCTACTCATTCACTCTCAAAGCACAGTTCTCCTGCCAGCTATCTGTTGTGACCAGAAGGTAATAAAATGGGTATTAACAACTTAAACATTTAGCACAAGTTTTAAGTGAAAAATATCAGGAGGCCCTTTTAATTCAAGATTTGATGTACTTAGATTTGGGGAATTATTTGATAGTGAAATGCTTTTGTTTTTTGTTGATTTCCCTGCCCCCCCCTTGTTGGACTTTGTGGGTTTCAGTATTTTTTATTTTTTCTTTACTAATGACAGTAAAGATTTAAGCTACCCTGGAACAGGAATCTTTTGGAGCTCAGGAACTCTGAAGGGAATTGGGGAACACTTCATGGATTTTTGTTTGTTTCTTAGCATATTTAGAAATGGGTTTTCAGGTCAGGCTTTAATTACCAGTCTCAAATTCAGTGCAGTTTGATTCATAATTGTACTACAATCATGTAACAGATATACATACTTTTGGTTGCAAATAGTCAAAAGAAATTTGTGGCCATTGTATTTTTTCTTCTTTTTTTTTCCATTTATTTTTATTAGTTGGAGGCTAATTACTTTACAACATTGCAGTGGTTTTTGTCATACATTGAAATGAATTAGCCATGGATTTACATGTATTCCCCATCCCGGTCCCCCCTCCCACCTCCCTCTCCACCC